GAGTATTTGCATAAAATACTCTATATAAAAATCAATATCGTATGTGACATAAAAAAGTTTTTTAGTTTTTTCAAAACTATTTTTTTTATCTATCAATAAATGAATTTCATAACATTTTTAAAAAAATTGTTAATGGTGTGTCAAGATGAGTTAACCTTGGCCTAAACTTACAAAATTAGTGTATCAATTATTGATATTTAATATCATACATTACAAAATATTGATATACCAAACATGATAGAAAATTATGTAATGACATTATGGCATGTCGGCAATACAAAAAAAACATCGGAACATCTATATACTTTTTTAATTAGTTTATTATAGAATAATTTTTTAATATAAGATATACTCTTAATATTCTTGATCACAAAAAAGACAAAAAAAAAAGTTAAAAAACTATATTTTGTAAATATGATAGTTTTTCGAAAATTCTAATTAAAAAAAATTAAAAGAATTTGAAAAGAGATATTGAAAAAAAAACAATTATCTATTAGAATATGGTTTTACATATTTTTAATTAATTTATGAAGAAATTTGATGTTAATTAAGTGTTTACTTTAAGTTAATATACTGATATCACATTTTTATTTTAAAGAATCAATGAAAAAATTCTAAAATCTAGAGGGATAAATGTCAAATTTAAGTAAATATAAGGTACTAAAAATGAAAAATTGTTAACACCAAAAGTGACACGTGACAGCCTCTCAAAACTTCACTTAGAAAAAATCTTAAAATATTATATTAGATATCAATGTATGAACAATTTTATAAAATTGGGTTTGGTGTCTCACACAACGTTGACTATATGGCTTATATTTTAATTTCGCATACACATTCCCTTTTAATGAATCTCTATTTAAAACTATCTTTTAGGTGTATTACTTATTATGCATACATATTTCAAACTAATTATTATCAAGGAATACAACTCGATTATTTTCTTTTTTTATATGTTGAAAATGAAATAATGGTAACTAACCACCTATGAGCACTATCAGGGAATACTAGTCGATTATCAACTAAAAAAACAAGAATATTCTTGTTTTTTTAGTGTAATTGGTCATATATAGACTCATAAAACAAAAACATAAGCACTATCAAGGAATACAAGTCGATTATCAAGGAATACAAGTCGATTATTTTCTTTTTTTTATAGAGCAAAGTTCGCACAACTAGAAGACGTTTAGAGTGTANATAAACAAATGGAAAGTTCTTCGAATTAAAAACAAAAAACAAAATTAATAGAAGAAAATGCATAACAAAGGCAAGATAAATCGTACACTAAAGTATCCAAGGTAACACACTTACAAATTTGTCAACCATCTTCTGACCTTCTTAAGTGTAAATAAATGGAAAAGTCTTCGAATAAAAGAAAACTAGAAAAGAAATAACAAAAGGCGAAACAATAATAAGCTAAGCTCTTAACACAGATACAAACCCCCACAAAAATAAAAATAAGACCAAGAAGAAGAAGTAACACATTATGATAGATTCAAAGCATTATTATTCTGATCACGATGATGATGAAACATCAACATGTCGCTACCGTAACTCTCTCTATCATCTTCGCTTCCACCATTGATAAAAATAGTCGACGACGAATTCAACGGTGTCGAGCTATTTGAAGAAGTTCCCGGTAGCATTAATGAACTGAAATCCCAACCGGCTTTGAAGTTCTCACCGTCATTAATTTCGTCAGAGACAAATCCGGCGGATGAGTAGTTTCCGGTTAGATGGACTTGGTTAATAGATTGGTCACTCGAACCGGTATAATTGAGATAATTTTCCCAGTATTCTCCATTGTTTTGCCGTTGAACCGATGGTGTCGAGTTGAGCAAACCAGTGAAACTGGTTGGATCAGTATTTAGGTCGTTTTGAAGCTGTTGGTTTGGTTGGTACGATTCGGTCTGAACGTTGTTGAGAGAGGCAGTGAGGTGATTCAAGATCCCGGGATTAATATTTGAAGTAGTGAAATCTAATGGAGTATTCATCGGTTGTGACATAGATTTGAAGAGAGATGAGGTAAGTAACGAAGAGAGCTGAAGAAGATTGATTCGGGGACAATGAGTAACGGGATCAATCCCCATTCGTAAGAGTTTCTTTTTTATATGTGTGTTCCAATAGTTCTTGATCTCGTTATCTGTTCGTCCTGGCAAGTGAATAGCAATGGCGGACCATCTATACATAGAAGAGAAAAAAAAACTAGTTAGATTTTAAAAATAAAATGAAAATGAGAAGTTATTAACAATAAAGTTTTTTTTTTTTTTGCTAAAAGGTAAATATTTCATTATCAATGAAAATGTTCTTAGCTTACAATCGATGACTATAAGCTAATGATCATGCATCCACGGCAAAAAAGAATTAAAAACATGGATACATAGTTTCAACCGGTTTTCAGTCCGTCGCGTCAACAAAGCCAAAGGCATTTGGAATACGACGAAGTGATGACGATATTAAAATGTTCTTCCCAAGTCCACATCTCGCGAAGCGTAAGCAGAGAGAAGCGAGAGAGATGACGCAAACCACGAAGCAGTAGAAGCATTTCACACGAGGCCCAAAAACTGAACCGTCAACGGCAACGACCTCACAGTTCTCGATCACTTGCACCAACTGTGCCAAGTGAGAGTCACTCAAAGAGCATTTCCATGAGCTAGAATAGCGAGAAACCTCTAAACCAAATTCTGTGTTAGCAGCAACTCACTCTTCCTAGGGCACGGCAAACACAGAGCTAACTAATCCTTCAAACCTCAAGTACTAACAATAAAGTTTTGACTTGCTATGATATTAGCTGCGTAAAGAGTTGAAGATCGCAAGCTTAGCTTTAGACATTTGACATTGATAGTGCTTATGTTCTTGTTTTTTAGTTGAATTAAATAAAATATGCAAGTGGTATTCTTAAAAAATGAAAAGACATGGAAGTCCAACGAAGTAGGTGTAGTAGTGGAAAAATAGGTCACTTGGTTTAATTTAATTATTACTCACAAAAATCAATAGAGAATTAGAAACTAATATGAAGAAGAAGAAAAATTGAAGAAAGACTAACTTGTTTCCAAGAAGACGATGAAGTTGAATGATAGTCTCTTCCTCTTGAAGAGAGAACTCTCCTCTCTTGATATCGGGTCTTAGATAATTCGTCCATCGCAATCTACAACTCTTCCCGCATCTTTTTAACCCTTTTCAAGATTTACATGAAGAAAATGGAATTAGAACCATGATTGTTTTAAATGTATTAACGTTGACATTAGCATGATATAATATGGCAATTATTATTAGTAAATTCTAAACACAATTGTCAAGTGTCAGTGTAAACATAGAACGCAAGAAAATAAATCGTAGACTGTATGATTTAGCTAAGGTTTGTGCGTATATATGCGCATGTGTTGACACTTGCATGATATAACATGCTAATCGAAGTAATTGTTTTTACACCACAAACTTAAACACAAAAC